CACGCGCGGCGGCGCCCGCGCGCGCTTGGCGGCCGGCACCGGCGCCGACACCTCTGTCGCGGAGCTGCCCTCGCTGCCCGGGTCGGGCGGGGGCCGGCCGGGGGCGGGGTCCTCGCCGCGCTCCCGCGCCCGCTTCGCCGCCCGCCCGGCCCCCCGACCCTGCGCCGCCGCCGTCCGCCCCACCTCCGCTGCCCGGGCCGCGCGCCCGCGAGGCTTCCGCGCCGGCGGGGGCGAGGAGGTGCTGGCCTCCGACCCGCGGTCGCGGTCCTGGCTGCTGCTCGCCGCCGCGCTCTCCTCCCCGCTGCTGCTGGCGGCCCCGGCCCCCGCCTCCTCGTCCTCCCCCACCCCCACCTCCTCGTCCTCCCCGCTTGCCGCCTCCTCTCCGCTCCCCTCCTCATCCTCCTCCTCGCCCTCCTCATCCTCCCCACTGCTGCTGTCCTCACGGCGCAGGTCCGGGAAGAAGATGCCCATGTCCAGGCACACGCCGTCGGACATGGCCGAGCACTCGCAGTTGAGCGCGGCGCGGCCCACCGGCAGCCACTCCGGCAGCGCAAAGTTCACCGCCTCGGCGATGTTGAACCCCAGGTTGAAGCCGGAGTGGTAGGCCGCGGCGTTCAGCACGATGAACTCGCCCGGCTCCTGCCGCGCCTGGACGAAGGGCACGCCCGCGGCGCGCAGGAGGCGCGGCGAGATCATGATGTCCTTGTGCCGCACGAAGGCCGGGCAGGCGGCGTGCAGCTCGGGGAAGAGGCCGCGGGCCATGCGGTCAAAGGTGTGGCCGTCGCGGGGGGACACGCAGTACCAGATCTTGGCCGCGCCGGCGTGGTTGTAGTTGATGGAGTACAGGTCGATGTCCTCCTTGTGCCAGCCGAAGAAGGACTTCCAGGTGCCAAAGTAGGCCATGGGCGAGGTGACGCCGGGGATCTCGGGCACGTCGTACTGCGACAGCAGGCAGCCCAGGCGCCGCAGGTTCCAGCCAAAGTCCAGGCGCTCGTCGAAGAAGGACACGGCCACGTCTGCGCCGTACAGGGGCGGGTTGATGGTCACGCTGGACCAGAAGGAGCGCTCCAGGAAGTCGTCGTCGCGGTGCCCTGCGGATGAGCATGGGGCAAGGGTCGACAAAGAGCACAACGCAGCTGTCCGAGTGTGCAAAGGGGTGGTACAGCGCACCCGGCGCATCCCAGGGCACAAATCTGCGACAGGGTCTCCATGCCCCTGCACACACTCGATGCTGCTCATCCCCGCACCTCGCTCGGGCGCCTTGTGACTGGGACCGCTGGCCATCTTCTCAAAGTCGGAGGCCATCATCCCCTGCGCACGGCAGAGGGGCTAAGGGCGTAAGACTATGATCCGAGAGAGTCTCCACTCTGCTGCATCAAGCAGGCGCATGGTCCGTCTCCGGATCTGCAAAAGCTCGTCGCAGTCAATGCTCCTTCTCCCTCTCGAGCCCAGTACCTCACCCGCTGCTCCTCCAAGATACATCTGTACGCCCCACTCTTGCCGAACACCTGAACGCGTGTACCATGTGAGGGTGAAAAGGACGCTCAGCAGGTAGGGGTGGAAAGACCAGATACCACCCTGCCATTCTATATGCCACGCTTCGGGGCTTCCCCCATCATGCAAGGCATCCAATTGACCTAAATACTCCCTCGAGATGCTGCAGGCACCCTCCCATGACGCATGGTAGCACGGCCCCCCGTACATGCTGCTTGATGGGGGTGGCAATCCGCACGTTCTCCAGATCGTACTTCCCCCGCTTATTTGGTTTCCAACGTTTTGGTGGAATGACCTGCATTCATGGCATCAGATCTTGGTTAGAAAAATGGCTCGGCAGGGACCAGCCCCGGCTCCGGGGGTCTCATCGCTCCAGACCAGTCCAGCCGGAGATACTTGCCTTGAAACATGCCCATTCCGGGTGCTTCAGGAACTGTTCCCTCACAAATTCAGCAAAAGGTCTCTCGAATTGCTGTCGAGTCGGCCGCAGCGTGGGGCAGAGGTGAATGTCCGAGTTCACCATCGTCCCAGCCCCTTCCTGGTGTCGCAGGGACTCCTGGTCAGCCTAGCCGTCCTCGTAGTGTTCGACACCCTGCATCTGGTCCGAGATCATGTAGGAGGGTCGGTATATGCTGCTCAAAAGTCCAGATGGCCTTCATGGACTTGGTGGTGCAAGTTCGTCACGCACCCCCCTTCCAGGGTCTACCTAAACCCTCGTGCGAACGAATGTTTCGCGCCATCAATTAGTTCTCGAGATTCAGCTTCACTCCACAGCTGCTCCTAATCCCTGTGATATACTGTAAAGTTCATGTGCATTACTGGTGAACTCCTTGCACTTGTAGGCTAGGCATCCCCAAACAGGGATGTGTGTGGGTAGCCCTTGGGCAGCTGGCTGCCAGATAGATAAAGGCATTACACAGTATCAAGCACAAGGAGTGTTCCCGGCATGGTCAGGCTCACAAGCCCAGCGTTGCACCCACCCATTCAGCCTGCTAGGCCTTGCGGAGGACCAGCAAGGACCGGTGGAACCCCGAGGCTGCCTCCCCTGGCTGCAGGCGTCGCACCAGCCGGAACCCCAGCGTGTCGCACAGGAAGGCAGGAAAGGCATCTGGCCGCAGCTGCAGCTCGTCCAGCGGGTGGAACTGCGCCAGCGACGCCCGCTCCTCCTCGCTGCACTTTGCACGCTGCATGCATGAGAAAGGAGGAATGGAGAGGTGGGCTCGGATGGACCACCTATCAAGAACACAAAACAGTGATTGCAGGGTGCAACACGAGGCACCCAGCACTGAGGGCAGGGAAGGCCACATCAACACCCTGGGCATGACAGGGCAGGTCGCCGCCCGCCAAGCCCACGTGCCTGCTTTTTGAGCTTGGATATGGCCGCCTGGTAGGAGCTCCAGGGCTGGGGCTCCACTATCAGCAGGCCCCCCGGGGCAAGCACCGTGTGAAACTTTATAAACAGCGCCTGCAGGCCCTCATCCCCCCTGTTCAGATGCACCCATTTGGTGACACTGCACATGGGTTTGTGGAAAGGGGGAAGGGGGGGTGATTGGCGGGGACGGGGGGACGAAAGAGAGGGGGAATGTGGTGTGGCATGAAGGTGACCGGGACCCGGCACAATCCCACGGGGCAGCAGGGGAAAGGGCAGGGGGCCCTGCAAAGATGTAGGCCAGCCCGCTGCAACAACTCACCGACCAGGCCCAGCGATGAGTCATCCCCAGGGGCCCCCACCCATCCCAACCCTCCTCCCGCTCCCACGCGATGTTGCGCGCACCACTCCCACTCCCCCCCATCACGCCCCCCACCTCAGGCACGTGATGGTGTCCAGCGAGGCCGGCTCCACCACGCTCTCCAGGAAGTCGGCGTGCACGAACCAGGTCTGACTGAGGCCCTGCAGCGTGTCCCTCGCCGCGCGTCGCTCTCCGGCGTCCGTCCCGCCGGCCCTGGCGACGGCGGCGCGCTGCGTCGCACTGGTACGCAGCGCGCGAAGCGTGCTGCGGGAGCGGCAAGAGGTCGGGGGTAGGGGTGCCGACCGGCTCCTGGTGCTGACGATGCCCAGAAAGAGAACCACGACCTCTGCACGCCTCTGCAACACGGCCAGGCTGCAAGTCTGTTGCTGCCTTGTCCACCAAAACTCCCCTAAAACTCACCGCCCCCCCCACCCCCCCCACCCCCGACCACACAACTCCAGCGGGACCTACGTGCAGGCGCGCTTGATGAGGTGGGGGTCGATGTCCACCCCCACCATGCTCTTACAGGCCAGCGAACCCGCCAGGGCCAGGGTGACCAGGCCCTCGTTGCAACCGACGTCCATGCAGCGGCGCCGCGCAAACCAGGAGCGCTCCATCACCGCCAGGCGCGGGTCGTGGTCGAAGGCCTGGCCCAGGCGGTACCCGTAGTAGCGGTGGTAGTTGCCGTGGGGCGCCAGGCGCGAACGCGGGGGCCCGGGAAGGGCAACCCCGGCCTGGCCAGGCCCCTGCGCGCCGTCGGCCCGGCAGGGCGAGGCGACCTCGCCCGTGCCCTCCGCGAGGGGCCGGTGGGCCAGCGCCGCGTGCGTGACGGCCGCCTGGGAAGAAGGGTCGGCGCGGAGGGGCCGCTGGGCCGCGAGGGCCCTGGGCAGGAAGGGCTGGGGAGCGCGAGCCGGGCGCGCAGGCAGCGGTGTTGCCCTGCTGCCGGTCAGGGCCGCGGCGTCAGTAAGGGGGGAGGTGTGATCGGTGGTGCCTCCTGGGGTCATGGTCAGGCTGGCCTGGGTAGAAAGCTCGCTGCTGGCCAACACCGCCTGCTCGCCGAGGGCTGCACGCTGCCGCTTGCCGGCGGGGGCATCTTCAGGCATGATGCCAGCCTGAAGCGTTTCAAGAGAGAGGGCCAAAGTTGGAGTTCAACAACTTGTCAAGAGGGAAGTGCGCAGAATGAGTAGCCAGGCAGTGGAGAGTCCAGCAGCACAGCTTACCTCGAGCAGGAGGGCGGCCTGTGCCCGCGCCAGCTTGAGTCGCCTCTTCTTCTTCTGGGTCCGACTCAGTGAGCTGGTGTCCGTCTCTGAAGTGTGCAAAGACGGCTCTGGGCTGGCAGGGCCCCCGCGTACCGGCGGCATATTTGCCGCAGCGGCAGCGACACCTAGGGGAGACAAAGCTGCGAGGACAACAGGGGGCTCTTACCAAAAGGCCATATACTTCAAGGAGTTTGGGATTGTAGGGGACTGTTTTCCAACTGATATGAATGTTGTGCCATGAATAAGTCGCCTCCTTATTGAAATAGTTATTCGGTGAGTTTGTCTCGCGCCCTGAAACCCTGGGCGCGGGCATTGTCGATTGCCTTCACAGCCAGCCGCATCCGCTCCCTGGCCCAGTCTGAGAGGATGTTGGGTTCCGTCTAGGGAGATGTCGCCGCCCACTTGGTCCCTGCGTACTCAGGTGCCGAATTTTTGAGAGCTGGTACATGCTCCTCCAAGGAGTCAAGGCCGCCATTGGAAGCAGGACCTGGCCAAGCCTGAGATACGCCCTCAAGGGATACAAGAGGTGCGATTGGCCACGCAAGGCCTCGCCTGAGGATGAAGGCATCGTATCATGATGTCGCCACTCGGCTGCGTGGAACCCTCTAGCACTGGGAAGCTCATGGAACTGCACTGGAATCCCTCTCGTCCCGCAGGCAGTCATTCCTCCCTCCCACCCTCTATCGTGTGGAAATGTCCACAAGCGACTTCAAGGTAACTTGACGCCCGTCCATGCCAACCCCAAGTCCTTGACTTCCATGGCTACCGGAGTGTCATGCCTTTGCTTATTGGTAACTGGTGGGTGCTCCTCCAATCTGGACGCCATGCCTCCTCACCCACCGACCACATGCAGGACCACAAGTTTGGACCCTGGACAGTGCACGCAAGCGAGGTCTTCGCCACCTCTAGCCTCTCCTTTGCCTTTGTGAACTTGAAGCCGATTGTGCGGGGGCACGTACTCATCTCGCCACGGCGTGTGGTCAACAGATTCACGGAGCTCACCTCCGACGAAGTGGCCGACATCTGGTGCGTTCATGGCTCATGCACATCTGGCAGGGCTGACCGTGCAGGCACTGGGCCACTGCTGGCCCGTACTTCTTGCGTGTGCTGGGCCGGAACTCCCGGCGTCCACACACAGGCTCACTCTGCGCCACCGCGGCCCCGCCCAACTGCAGGCACCTCGCCCAGAAGGTCAGCAGCCGGCTGGAAGCCCACCTGGGTGCGAGCTCCCTGACCCTTACCATCCAGGACGGTCCCCAGGCAGGACAGACCGTGCCACACGTCCACATCCACATCCTCCCCAGGCGGGCTGGGGACTTTGAGAAGAACGACGAGATCTACGACGTCATCGAAGCCGCCTCCAAGGAGTTTGTGCGCGAGAAGCAGGGGTGCGGTGGGTGGTACTCGGGGGGTTCCAAGGGGCAGGCCTGATACCTGGCGTGGCAGGGATCCTGCTGTGCCTTTGTACAAGCAGCACTGCCTGCTTGGGTGGACATGTGAGCACCGCATGCCTGTAGCACCACCCAGCCTGGGATGTCTTTGCTCGGACATGCATCCCCTCCGCCGCATCCCTCACATTCGCAGGGAGGCTGCTCCCCAGAACTCCAGCCAGAAGGTGGACGCAGACGCGGAGAGGAAGTCTCGCACCCCGCAAGAAATGGCGGCGGAGGCTGCTGAGCTGCGGACCCTGTTCTGACTTCATCTCGTATAAAGGTGCACCAGCCAGATTATTACCAGTGTCTCAGGCCCCGGGGCGGGCAGAGCAGCTGGGCTTTTGCAGGACAAGGTCAGGTCTGCACGCCTCGCCCAGGTCTGCCTTTGGAGCTCCGCTTGTGCGTGACCTAGGAGAGCATGGTGCCTCAGCACGACGATGTGCCTGCCGGCTCCCAGGGTCCGGGAGGTGCAGGCCAGGGTTGTGGGCCAGCCGCCGAACGCCCGGCCGGCTCTGGTGTGGCGGCGGAGTATCACGACGCCGACTTTGACTGGTCCGAGGCAGCAGCAGAGGCAGCCGCCCTGGTGGCATCTGGTGGCGGGGTTTGCGCGGCAGGGTGCGCGCCTGGTGCCCAGGGCGGCGCCTGCCACGCGAGCGACGCCGGCGAGGAAGGGGCAGCCACCGCGACAGGCCAGCAGCCCGGGAGCGAGCCCTGGGAGCGCTTCCACGCCCAGCACGCCAGCGCCCGATTCTTCAAGCCGCGCCGCTACCTCCTGCACACCTTCCCCGCGCTGCGTGCTGAGGGGCTGCGCCTGCTGGAGCTGGGGTGCGGGGCCGGGGCGAGCCTGATTCCCATTCTATTGGCCAACCCGAGTGCCAGGTGCCCCCCCGGGGGGTGTGCAGGCTGGGAGGGATGCTTCAGAGGGGATGGAGTGTTGTGTGTGTGCGTACAATGTGGGAGTGAACAGCCCCCACCTGCATGCGAAACACACGGCCTCGCCCCCGCTGGCCCTCGCCGTGCACCTGGCAAGCAGAGGGTGCCGCGCGACCCCTACCGCCGACCCAGCCTCCTCTCCTCCTTCCCACCCCCGCGCCAGGGTGCTGGGGTGCGACATCAGCGCCTCGGCCCTGGCCCTGGCCCGCAGCGGCGCACAGGCCGCGGGCGTCGACGCCTCGAGGCTGGCCACCCTGGCGGTGGACCTGGAGGGCACGGGCCCGCTGGCGGGCGTCCCGCCCCGCCACGACACCGTGCTGCTCGTCTTCACGCTCAGCGCGCTGACGCAACGCGGCGAGGCCAACGCCCTGCGCGCCGCGCGCGCCGCGCTGGCGCCCGGGGGGCGCTGCCTGGTCAGGGACTACGGCCTGTACGACATGGTCCACCTCCGCTTCCTCGCCGGCGGCGCCGTGCGCGGCCCACCCATGCCTGTTGCCGGCACCACACACGGTTCACCCCCGCCCGACCCACCCCCCACCCGCGCCTTCCGCCGCGGCGACGGCACCCTGGCCCGCTTCCTGGCCCTGCAGGAGCTCGTGGCCGCCGCCGCGGCGGCGGGACTGGAGTGCGAGGAAGCCAAGTACGCCTGCGTGGCCGTCCGGCGCCGCGGCGCCCCGGACCTACGCCGCGTTTTCCTCCACGCCGTCCTGCGCCGCGCCGGGGAGGGTTGATCCACGCTCGTGGATTGCGGGGCGGGCGAGCGCGGTGCCCCCAGCAGCAGGCGTGACCCAGTGGACGCAGCGTCCTCAGTGTCACTTTGTTCCTATCAAGCATCAGCAGCCCCTGTGGCTGTTCTGGGATCGCTTCGACAGCCAGGGCTGTCTGGCCTGCAGTTTCTGCACCTGCGCTCCCAAACTGTACACCAGTTGTGTGCAGAGCTGTGCAGGAGGGGAAGGAAAGCGCCACACACACACCCAGAGGGTTCCCTCAGCAGGCCTCATCGGGGCGCGACGAGGGTGCGCTGGGGGACGGCCAGGCGGCGGCGGCGGCCTGTGCGGGTCTGGGCCCACGGCGAGATGGCATGAAGTTGGGGCCCATGCCGTCGCCGGCCTGGTCATCGTCCGCCGCCCCCGCCTGCTCCCTGCTTTCTGACCCGCTCGGCGAACCTGCGTCGGGCTCGCCGCCGCGCTCCGCCCGCCCGCCGCCTTGGCCGCGCTCCGCCTGCCCGCCGACTCGGCCGCTCCCCACGGGGCTGTCTCCCCCCTCGCCCCTCGTCTCGCCGTCCTCCCACCCACTCTCTCCTCGGTTGTCTTCCCCCCTTTCCACAGCCCGGTCGGCCCCCTCGCCCTCCCCCGCCGTGCCGTCCTCGGTCGCCTCCTCCGGCTCCTCGCCCTGCACCAGCGCCAGCATGCCCAGGAGCTGGCCCGGGGAGAGGTCCGGATTCAGGCCCTGCAGGAGGTGCAGCCAGGTGGACCTGGGCCGCACCTCCTCCATCGTGTGCCCAGGCTCGTGGCTCTGATTGAACCTGGCGGGGGGGGTGGGGGACACCAGGGGGAGAGGGGTTGGGGGAATCATGGTGTGAACCCCTCGAGCGAATCCCCCGATCCCCCATTGCTGCCAGCGGTGCACTCCCCGCAACCAGGGCTCCCCCACACGACGGTCAGCAGATGCCCCCAGCCTGGTCCTGCCACATTCTGGACCCGCCCCGTTCTCCACTCAGCCCCCCTGGCCCGCCTCACCGTCCCAACACCGCGACCCCGGCGCCGCAGCTGGCGTGGCACCGCGCACAGAGGTCGAAGCCGATCGCCGCGGGGCAGTCCCGGCAGCGCCAGCGCCGGCCCACGATGGGGTGCTGGCCGCAGGCGTCGCAGCCGGCGCCGTAGTGAACAAAGGCCTCTGCGGTCCAGGCACCGGCCAGGGGGGCCTGCGTCGCCGGGCCCTGACCCTCCGCACCAGCCCGCGCGCCCGCCTGTGCGGTGCCCGGGGGCCCAGCCGTCGGCGTCGCTGAGCGGCCCTGGGCCGGGGGTACCGACGCCTGCGTCGCAGTCGTCGTGTCGTGAGGCCCGCATTGTGCCCGCTCCGCGGCCGCAGCAGCGGCGTGCAGCTGGGGGCACAGGGCGGCCACTGCGCGGTCCAAGACCCCGCACCGTGCCACGGGGAGGGGGGTGGGCACAGCGCAGAGCGGGCAGCCCCAGGCGGCCCTCGAGCCTTCGGGTGCAGCGTGCGCTGCGCAGAGGGCGTGGCCGCAGGCCAGGACGCGGGGGAGGGCCAGCACTGCTTGGCAGCCAGGGTGGCAGCAGCGCAGGGAGTCGGGGAGGCGGGCAGGGTGGGCGGCGTGCTCGACGCCGTGGATGCTGTAGCCCTGGCCTGACGCCTGGCCCTCCTCCTCCACGGCACGGGCGGCGTAGCTGGAGGGGAAACTCAGTCGGAGTGCCGCGTCCAGGGCCGCGCAGACCTGTAGGCCAGGAGGGAGGAGGAGGTGCGGGGGTCCTGGGCGGGGGTGCACGGGGCTGGGCAAGGGGCAATCGCAGCACCCCGCACCCACCCTCGGCCAGCTCACCCCTGGCAGGTGCCCGAATGCATGCCGGCACAGCGGGCAGTGGGAGGCCTCGTAAGGGGACATGGCCCTGAAGAGGCAGTAGAAGCAGAACGCATGCCCGCACACCGTATTCACGGCGGGTTTGTAGAGCAGGTTGAGGCAAATGGGGCAGGCAAAGTCCGACTCGTTCATGACGAGTGGCGGTGGGCCGATCGATGCCTCTCCCGTCAAGGCATGGAGGGCTGTAATGGTGAGAACGGAGAGTGTATTCAATGCAAGGGACTGGCTTGCGATGAGGCAGACATTCAGGTCGTGAAGCGGGCGAGCGAGTCGCCGCGTTCCCTTGGTATGACAACAACCCTGTCGGAAACTCCGCAACCGGCCCAGTTCCCAATTCTATCACGACACCATCGCCCCAGCTTCCCTTCTCCATGCACAGGCCTCAGGGCCGAGACACCTGCCTGAATCTGCCCCAAGGTGGTATGTGGTGACAAGGCGGAGCCCACGGGTGTGGAGGGAGGAGTGGCAGGTGGGGCACACAACATCAGTGACCTGCTGTGGGTGAGGGGCACCGACACAGCCAGCGGGAAAACTCTTGGCATGACGAGATGCATGCATCGCCGATTCAATCATGGGGAGAAGGACTTGACACGCGTGGGCGCTGCAGCAGACTATGGAGCGAGAACGCCAGGGGGGGGGGACAGGGCCCGAGAGGGGCCTGCACCCGCTCACAACTGCTTCAGGATGTCGTCCGCGCTGCTGACGGTGAAGGCGCCCCCCTCCTCCATATTCACCAGCTTGACCACGCCATCGTCGGCCAGCATGGAGTACCGCCTGGAGCGGTGCCCGAGCCCCTTGTCGCTCAGGTCCAGCTCGGCTCCGACCGCCTGGGCGAGTGTTCGGGGGACGAGGTGCCTTCATGGTCCTGCAAAGTGCAGAGCGATGCGTCCGGGCAGGTGCCCATGTCGACCCCCATGTGCCACCGCCATCCCCAGGCACACCCTGCCTCTACGCAGCCCCCACCTTGGTGAAGTTGCCAGATCCGTCTGCCAGCATGAGGATCTTGCCGTCGGCGCCCAGCTGCTTTGCCCAGGCCGCCATGACAAACGCGTCATTCACAGAGATGCAGCCGATGGTGTCGACGCCCTTGGCCTTCAGCTTGTCAGCGCTATTGATGAAGCCGGGGACGTGCTTGGATGAGCACGTGGGGGTGAAGGCGCCTGGCACTGCCACAAAAACCACCTGGGGGAAAGGCAGAGAGGGAGGGCTGGGGATTGAGCACAGGGTTTTCGTGCAAGGAGAAGCTCCTGGGGAAGCACCCTGGACAGCGGGGGCGTGATGGTGCGAAATTTACACCTGCCACCCACCCAACCATCCATGAGGCATGCAAGGAACGCCGTCTCACCTTCTTGCCCTTGGTCAGGGCGCCTACGGTGGTCTCCTGCATGTTGCCCTCGGCATCAAAGTAGCTGAGGTTGATGTCCTGGGGTAGCTGCAAGGAACTCGGGGGGGACGGGGGGGCAATTTGTCATTACAGAGCCTTGCATGCAAGATGCGTTATGCAGGTTTGTCGCCGTGCATCCATTGGAAGGCGTGCTCGCACCTTGTCCCCGACCGCCAGGGCGCTGACACTGACCACGCTCCTCCGAGCGGAGGCACGGCCCTGCATGGTTGCGTTCGGCACACGTGTGAGCATCGCACCTTTGCATGTATGGCATCATGTGGCTTCTCCCCTGCCCTCACCTGCGCCCGTGGGAGTGGGTTTCCCGAGAAGGATCGTGGAGCCCTGGACCTCCCCAGCTGACCCCTGGCCGCCGGGAATCGGGACACACTTGCCGTGACAGACTGCATTGTGGCTTGCATGACAACGGAATGGGATGGACGGGGGAGAGAAAGCTGATATGGGACCCCGTGCGGTGCGGGCTCCCTTGATTTGGGGGTGTCCCCGATCATGTTGCTGGGCAATCGCCCTTTCCTCCACCACCCCCTCTTCTCCCATCGGGCATCCTTTCGCAAGCCGAGCAGCACGACCAGCCAAAGCTTGACAATTACATCCACATGGAGCGCAATAGTTCAATCAAGATAAGAATTGTTAAGTGCGTGCACCGCTCCTGGCCACAGAGGTTTGGGCATGAGCCTGGGGCGGCCCATGCTCCACCACGTAGAGGCATCGGTCCCCCCCCCCTTGCACCTCGCGCCCACCCTCACTTCAGAGCCGTCAGGCGCGCCAGGATGTCGTCCTCCTCCTGGCCAGGGGTGCTCGTCGTGGCCTTTGCGTCGCTAGCTACCCTCGCCTTGCCGGCCGGCGCCATGGCGGCGGACAGGTCCACACCGATCTCGTCCAGCACCTGGTTGACCACGTCGTCCGTCTCCTCCTCCAGGTCATCTGTCTCCAGGGCTGAGTCCATCACGTCGGCAGCCATGTCCATGGCGAAGGACTCGCGCGCAAACTGCTGGGCCGCCTTCTGGGCGCCGGGGAGGTCGGCGGCGGCGCCCACCGCCGCCATCGCCTTGCCGGCAGATGCCAGACTGGCGCCCACAGTGCCCGTGGTGGCGGCCGTCTGCACAGGGGTCGTGCATGGGGAGTGTTATTCTTGGATCGGGGGGGAGGGGCTCCGGAGCGGAGCGTGGCAAAGGGCATGAGCTGGGCGCAGGGCGGCAAAAGGGGTGTCCCACCCACTGAACATCCCGTCAAACCCCCACAAAAGAACATGCGATTTGCCACCACTCACCGCCATGGAGATGTTGACACCACGCAGGTTGGCGGCCTGGGTCTGCATCTTGGCCATATGGCCCCTCAGGCGGACGAGCTGCTGTGCCAAAATCTTGGCGCCCGCCATGTTGCCGCTTCGGGCCGCAGCCTTGATGTCCTGTGGGAGTATCGTGCGTTCATTTGCCCAGGGTCCGCATGCCTTCCTGCCAACGCTGCACAGACCCGGGAGCCCACTCAAACTCCACATCCATGCCGACTTCCCGACAGCATCCCAGCTGCACCTTGAGAGTCTTGGCCTCCTCCCGTCTCAGAGCCAGGACCTCCCTCTCGATGTCCCGCACATTGTGGGTGACCTCCCTCTGGGAGGTGCGAAGCTGGGCGCGGGGGTCGGGTTTCTTAAACAAGCCCTTCAGGGCGGACATGCCAGGTGACCAGGCGAGTGTTCCCTTGCCCCGAAAACGCGTATGCCCCGAGGTGCTTTGTGTTGCTGGGTGACTGGAATCTTCAGTCACAGAAGTTGAGTTACTATGTGTTATATTGCTGGCTCTCAGCAAATGGTAAGAGCAAGTACTTGGTCTCGGTAAGCATGCTATCGGGACAAACCTGGGCGCGCGAGACTCTGTGACGTTCGCCGGGCCTTCACCATGCGACGAGTGCTACCAAGGCCGGCAACCACCGGCTCTCCCGGCGCGACGAAACACCTCAGATACAACAAAACATGTATGAAAGGCTGAAAGGATCAAGTTGCCAGCCTGTTGGAGAACCCAAAGCCGCGATCTGGTCCGGACGGCACTCATGGCTGCACTGGCTTTTCGGGCCAGGGCCGTCTGGGCAGGCACCGTGCCCCGCCAGGTAGTCATACACCTCAGAAGAGCCGGTAATAAAGATCGCATGAGACCCGATGAGAGCCTGATCTGATGCTTGTACATTGGTGCAGGTACCCCGAGCGCTGAGGGGACTGTCTGGTGCCGCAAACGACAGTAGCGTCGATGAACTTAACCGGGTAGGACTGCTCTGTTTTACGCCGCACTCTTGACGTGCAACATGATATCTAAGATGTGCATAGGCGGGCCGTCATTGGTTCTTGGTACGGCGTTACTGCCTGGAAGGATACATCTCCCTCTGTCCGCCTGACTTCGAGCAGGAGTTGGCTGAGCTCCACGGCATCGGAACCGCGCCTCAGGAGGAGCCGCTTGAGCAACCAGATGCACCCAGGCCCACGGCAGACTCTCGACATGCTGAGCGGCAGGCTCACGCGCCTTTCATGCCGCAACAGCCTCAAGAATCCCCACTGAGCACCTCATTGACGCATGTGGATGACTCGGGTCGGGCCAGGATGGTCGACGTCTCTCAGGTACTTTTGGAGCTTCGAGTGAAATACAATTCATTTCCCCCGAGTGCAAGTGGTTGTGTCGACGGGAGTGCATGCCCGAATCCTGAATATCCATCCATTAACCCTGCTTCCGAGAGCACCGTCATCATCCCTGCAGAAACCACACACCGCGCGGACAGCGGTGGCAGGAGCCCGAGTGATGTTGGGACGCACGGTATTCGATCTGATCCAGCAGAATGCCATGAAGAAGGGCGATGTTCTGAGCGTGGCGCAGCTGGCCGGGGTGATGGGGGCGAAACAAACGGCGTCCCTCATCCCCCTGTGCCACCCCCTGAGCCTGTCGAACGTGGAGGTGAAGCTGGCCCTGCTCGCCGACTTCCACGCGCTCAACATAACGGTCACCGCGTCGACAGTCGGTCAGACTGGAGTGGAGATGGAAGCCCTGACTGGCGCCTCCATCGCCGCGTTGACTGTATATGACATGTGCAAAGCTGTCTCTCGGGAACTGAAAATCACAGACATCCGACTCCTGCACAAGTCTGGAGGCCGCTCGGGGGACTGGACATGCTCTTCCTAAACAATACCGTGTAAAATTTAGAATCAATCAGGTGAATAATTGTGGCGCGTCGAACATGGTGATGGCGGCAAACGTCACGCCTCCCTGGAAAGATGCGAGGTGGGATGCTGGTACCACCGAAACAGTCAACTTCAAGTCACGCTCGGCGTATGCCTTTGCCGGCACAATAGCTAGAACCCCAGTGTCGTTTGGCATAACTCTCAAAATTTCTCACTAGGTTTCCCATACATCCCAACCCCCAAATGACTCCCAGCTCGCCATCCCTCTCGTGAATGGAGCTGCCCAAGAGCCCGGCCGTCCCCATCGTGCGTTACACGTCTACCGCCCGTCTCCAGTCTCAACCAATGTGCAAGCAGGTTCTGCCCTCGTTTCAGGGCCCGGAGAGCTTGCTCTTCACCTTTGAGGTAGGCGAAGGGGTGCGGATGCCCTCCCGGAATCTTTCGGCATCGCCGGGTATCCACCAGATGTGTGGAGGCTTCGTGTCGGCGCGTCGATTGATTCCCCACCCTCCCACTCCCCCACAGGCCGACGATGCCTTCACATTCCATCTCGGACGCATTGGGGCCAGCTTCAATGAGTATCGCGAGCTCCAGACCAAGATCCTGGGCCACCTAGTCCCACGCACGCTCTTCCATGTTCGGGTGAGCATTGGGTCGCACACCACCAGCAAAGCCACCTCCTCGGCGGCTCGACCGGGGTGCCTCGGAGTCACCACCCCACCATGCATGCACAAACCAGACGTTTACACCGCAACGAATGCTGTCGTGTGCCGCTCGCGAGTCCCACGCGCTCCCGCCGCACGCCGCAATCCCCGTGTACTGACTCATCACCCCCTGACTCCCCCTGCCCGGCAGTTGCTCCGCCATGTCCGACTGGCAGCCGCTCGCATCCGGCACTCCGGCACCATTGCCAGCGAGATCCTGGCAAACGAGCTTGCCATGGAGGGCTACACGGTGTCCCTCCAGCGAGGGGAGGGTGGCGGTCCCGGGACCCAGTGCTTCAAGAACCTGCGACACACCTTCCTCACAGTCCAGGACCCAGACAGCCAAGACTCCTTCATTGTAGAGGTGAGGCCCGAGCTGGACGGCTTTCATGTTTTGGGAGTCATGCCTTAGTTTCAAGGGTTTGTCCCTCGAGGGCATACACTGGGGCAGGGCGTGATGGACCGGAACAAGGACATGTTGTTCCGATGTGCTGCCTACACTGCTGCGTCGCTCCTTCTTACTTCCCTCTACCCCCACCCCACCCCCCACAGCTGTCTTTCCGGGACCATTTTGCCATCCCCCTCCAGTCCCTGCGGTATCAGAGCCTGCTGGACCTCCTCCCCGACGCCCTGGTGGCGCTGCCCTCGGACCTCTCCCCCCTTGTGGACATCGTGAGCCGCGAGCTGACCCGCGCCTTTGCCGCGGCGGGGCTGGACATCCCGCCCTGGCGCCAGGCCAAGAGCATGCTCAGCAAGTGGCTGCCCAAGCGCGCGCAGTCCACCTCCCTCAGCGCGGCCCCCAACTCCGAGCTGGCGGCCGCCGGCTCCCTGCACTGCCACCCACGCGTCGTCACCCACGAGCCGGCGCTGGGCTCCGAGCCCGCCTCGCCCACCTCCCCCTGGTCCGACCGCGCGAGCGACGCCGGCGACGCGCCAGGCGGCGCCTCGCCGCGTGCCGTCCTCCCGGAGGACGAGGAGCCGGCAGGGAAGCTGGGCGCGCTCCGCGGCGAGGGCGGCAAGCGCCGCTCCCTGCTCAGCTGGAGCCTGGCGCTGCAGCCGGCGCCGGGGCCGCAGCGGCCCGGTGCCTGGCAGCAGGAGCCCACCATCCGCGTGGTGCAGCGGCAGGGCAGCCGCCACGCCGTCGCCGCGTGACCGCGCGGCGCGAGGCGCGAGCGCATGCCGTGCTCACTCCGGGTCTCCTCCATCTATCCGAGGCCGGTGAACCTTGAGAGCGCGCGAGTCGAGGACGTGAGAGAGGGGAGAGAGCGGGGCGCCCCTTGTACGCCTTTACCCAGGGACAGTGGCCGCGCCTGCGCGTCGCCGTCCGCTCTCCTCTGAGAGCGCAGATCACCACTTCCCAGGGAGCGGCAGGGATGCCCCCCGCAGTTTGTACTTTTTGCAGTCCCAGTATTTTGCAAGCGGGGGCCCTTCAGCCCAGCTCATCTTCCTTGTGCAATCCTTCTCGAGGGCTGTGCACATTATCCCCCCCCCCCCCTTTATTCCTGCCATTTCGTCTTTCCTTGGTGTGTTCCTCCACAGGTGCCCTGCACCCCTGCTAGGGCAGTACTTCAAGAATGAACTGGGTTGCCAGACCATCTGCCACATGTAAGTGGGCCACGCAAGGGCATTGCTGGGTGGCAGTCAGGAGAGTGAAAGAGTGCAGCACAGGGGTTGCGCATCGCCACACGCCGCGGCGGTCTCTCCCAGGCTCGTCGGTCGCGCAGTACAGCCACGTCCCACATGGGTCATGCACACGCTCTCCAGGCTCTCCGCGGCGCCCTCACCTCCCGGCCAGCAGCGCCGCGACCCTCTTGCCAAGGGCCAGCGAGGCCGTCAGGCCCGGGGACTCGATGCCGTACAGCGCGGCCACGCCCGGCGCGCCCGTGGCCTCGGGTCCACACACCAGAAAGTCCCCCGCCGGCTGGCCGCGGCCGGCGACCTTGGGCCGCAAGCCCGCATACCCCGGCTGCAGCGCCCCGTCCGGCAGCCCCGGCCAGTAGGCCCGGACGGCGGCCTGGAAGGCCGGCAGCAGGCCCGGGTCTACGCTGTAGTCCAGGGCGTCGGGGTCTGTCCCCGGCGGCAGCCAGCAGGTGTCGGGGCCGAACCTGGCCCCCCCCGCCAGGTCCAGGGTCAGGTGCACGCCCAGCCCGCCCCCGCCAGGCACCGGGTAGACGAGGTGGCGGAACGGGGGCCTGCACCCGCTCAGCGCAAAGTAGGAGCCCTTGACCAGGGCCAGGGGGGGGACGCGGCGCGGATCCACCCCGAGCAGGCAGCGCGAGACACGCTGCGCCCAGAGGCCGGCGGCGTTGACCACAGCCGCGCAGGTCAGCGAGACGGTCTCGCCGCCGGGCGGGCCGTCTCGCACGGCCAGACGCTTGGTCGCGCCGCCCACCTCCCCGCCCTCCACCGTGCTGCTAGGAAGGGGCAAGGGGGGGGGCGGGTGAATCCATGCGAGGCTGGGAGAGCGGGTTTGTGAGACACTCCATGCGTGTCCACACCCCACGCATGGGCCAACCCGGGTGACAGGCGCCGCACACCCTGGCTCATGAGAGGACACTCACGGACCCTCACCTGTGGAGCGCCACCATCCCTCCGGCCTCCTCGATCTGGCGCTGGAGCTCCGTCATGAGACTAGTGGTGGGAGGGGACAGGAGGAGGGGAACTTGTCTCGACGTATGATCGTGCAGCAACCCCTTCCCAGCGCTTGGGCAACCCCTGGCCCCGCTTCCTCACACCCTCTCCACTATACCCCACAAACCTGTGGCTGTCGACGATGCCCGTATTGGGCGCAAGCAGCCCTGCGACGGCTTGCACCTCCGGCTCCAGCTCCCGGATTTCGCCAGGGGTGAGCCGCTCCAGCTCCACGCCATTGGCCGCAGCCGACCGCCGGGTGCTCTCCAGCTGGTCCAGCTGCTGGTCGCTGGTGGCCACCAGCAGCTTGCCGGTGCGACGGACAGGGACATTGTACTGCTCGCAAAACTTGTACATGAGGGCATTGCCTTCCACGCACGTCTGGGCCTTGAGACTCCCGGGGGGGTAGTAGATGCCTGGTGGGGTGGGAAGGGGGTTGACTTGTGGCACTGAATTCCTAGCGTGCGGTGGCTGATGTGTGTGGTGCCCTGCAGACGGGGCATGCACTGATGTGCCACCACACATGCTCGCCGACTCACCTGTCCCCACCAAGAGTCCTTTGAAATTCCACTTGGCAGGACATGCGACTGCTTACAATGCCACGATGGTAACTTTGACCATAATGCATCCCACCTGAGTGTATGACCTCGCTGTTCCGGCTGCTTGTCTGGGTGCCGATGGCGGGTCCGGAATCCAGCACCAACACCTGGCGACCCGCCAGGCCGAGCTCCCTGGCGATGGCGAGACCCACCACCCCAGCTCCAATCACCACGACATCCGCGTCTAGTTGGGATTGGGCACTCGCAAAGCGCCTCTGTAGACCTCGACAGTGTGGTAGGAATGGAGCCCTACGCATGGGCTTGGAGGAGAGGGGCCAGCGCCCAACCTGAGCACTACATAGGATCAGTACTACCAATAATCGTCCTGAATCTACACCAGCTGCATGACTCAACCTCCGACCTGGGCCATCGCAGTCCTGTGTGCTGGGCGAAGTGATCTAGCGATTTGCATCACGCGCTCGCGCCCCGGCAACAAAACCAGATGAAGAGTGTTCGGGAATGGATGGGAGGGCGAGCTCCCGAGGTCGTGGGCTGCTATACATGATAGAAATAGGGATAAATCACACACTTAGACGTTCTACCCATTGCAGCTGTAGATCCCTCCCCCGCCGGGAGCATAGAATGTTCCCTCCCAAGAGGGCGTTGACATGGAAGTTCACCCCATTCTCCAGCTTTGCACCACTTAGAGCATCAAACAGGAGTGAATGGAGTAAGCATGGTCGCGTCAGGCACGCAGCAGCGGCTGCAGCAATTTTCAGCGGACTTGCTGCTGCAGGAATTGGAGCACCCATCAAGTGAGAAGGGCATATGCCGGTAGTCTGCGACATGGAGTGTTGCTTGGGGAATGTGTCGATCATTCAGCCCCTTTTATGATGGTTCCCAGGCTAAGAAGGAATTCGAGGCTGAAAAAAGTGGCCGCCGGCGCAAGTCGGACCGGCTTTGGGCACCCCTCCCGACGGATGACAGACCTCCTGATCCTGGCGAATGTGGCAGCTTTCGGCACGCAGCTCCTCACCAAGCAGGGTCTCACGGTGTGGGGTGCCAAGGTAGGCTTGGCAGGCTGGGATGCTGAGGGCAAGTGATATCTACAGAGAAAGGCACCATATTAAGGTTGATGGGCAGGTTGAACAGAGGTCAGCTGGAGGGACATTGGACCCTATCTCTGTACGGTCCCCTTCCTGCACCTGCAATGCATACCACATCCTCTTCCTTCTGTGCGCAGCGCGACACATTTGCTTCACCCCGCCATCTCTGCAGGTGAACCAGTTGATTGTGGCCGGTCAGTACTGGCGGCTCATCACACCCGCCTTCCTGCACGGCAACCTCGTACACTTGGCCATCAACTGTGCCTCCCTGAATGCCCTGGGGGGCACCCTGGAGGGACTGTCTGGGCGGGAGAGGCTGGCCTCTGTCTACATGGTGGCTGCGGTCACGGGCAACCTGGCCAGCTTCTGGGGCAGCCCCTCGGTCTCGCTGGGGGCCTCAGGTGCGGCTCGAGGTTGGGATCAGGGGGAGCTCTAGGTTGGTCCTCACAATCCACCTGCAGTTTTCGTATGATAATCCCGGCTTTCACACCTCTTTGCACCCTGAGCTCAAGGCATCCCTTCATCACCCTCCTGCCAGGGGCGATCTTTGGGCTCGGCGGCGCCCTGGCCATTTTCTTCTACCAGAATCGCAATCTGTATGGCCAGCGCAGCGATTTCGTGCTCAGGCAGCTGGGCCAGACACTGGCGCTCAATGTGGTCTATGGCTTCGTGAGTCCACGTATAGACAACTGGTGGGTTTGGATGTGTTGAAGCATTGCTGGTTGGGACATAGGGCGAGGGTTGTAGGGAGATCATTCGGCACTAAACCGTTCGGCACACACTCCCAGGGGGCACCTGGGCGGCCTCGTCGGTGGCGTGCTCGCCGGGTACCTGCTTGGACCCAGGCTGTCGCTTGCTGAGACCGTGGACGGCCGTAAAGCGATTGTGGATGAGCCGCCGCTCAGGCTCTTTGCCAGGGACCCAGTGATCCTGCCGCTGCCGGGGGGTGGGCGTGGGAGACAGGGCTGAGGCATGCCTGCCTGACACGAATACGGTTTTCCGTATAGATTCTCTCATCCCAGCATTCTCCAGATTGTAATTCAACCCATGTTGGGATGAGAGAGGCAGGAAGGAGGATGGCCCACATTCCAGACACTCTCACGTAACCTTTGGTGTGTGTCGCGCTCATGGTTCAAGCGAGCCAGTCTGATCGGATGTCAAACCCAACCAGACAGCGTGAAAACGAATAGATCTCTTGTGATCATTTCCTTTCACTATTGCCTGCCGCTGCTCCCTCTTCATCGCGGAAGGGTTCACCACGACATGGCCACGGTCGTCAAGGACGCAGCCGAGGCTGTGCGCTCTCGCCTGAATGCCGTCCTGGCAGGAGTTGGGGAGGCCCCGAGCACCCTGATCAGCTCCTCCCCCGAGTGGAAAGCGCTGGAGGCGCACGCGGTGGCCGTCCAGAAGCTGTGCGTAAGGGTTTTTGGGGTTTGGGGTCAGAGGAACCAGGGCGCGCTCCCCCCCGAAGGCGTATTCCCAACCCCCACCACCCCCATCAGGCATCTCAAGGATCTGCTCAGTGACGATGCGCGGACCACCGCCCTGACCCGGGAGGCCGAGGGCCTGTACCTGGACCTTGCCCGCCAGAATGCAACCCCTGAAACGCTGCAGGTGGGGGTTGGGGCCTTGGATGCTTTGATGCAGGGCCATGCACAGAGCAGGCAGCAAAGAAATGTGAAAATGATTCATGTCGACATTGCAGAGCCTGCATCCGTCAGCAGCATTGGTGCACAGTCTATCATTAACTCCAGCAATGTGCGTGCCCCCATGCAGCTGCTCCTGGCGCTGGCAGAGAAGGCGGGTGTGAAGACCAAGATCGATGCCATGTTTGCGGGGCAGCACATCAACACCACGGAGGACCGGGCTGTGCTGCATGTTGCCCTCCGCGCCAAGCGCAATCAGGTTGGCGGCTGTGGTATGTCTTTGCTGTAATGTCCAGCAGAGTTTGTACGCATGAGGCATGAGCTGGCAATGGAGGCATGCCGGCCCTCACAGCATGTTATCTGGCAGCATTTTCATTTCAAACGGCTCCCCAACCAGGTGATCACCGATGCCGGCAAAAATGTGGTGCCCGAGGTCTGGGAGGTCCTGGACAAGATCAAGGCGTTCTCTGGTGCGCCGGGATGTAGTATTCGCGTGGCGGTTTTAGGATGTAAGGATTGGGCCCCCATACGAGTCTTGCGGCTTAGAAGACTACTCTGCCATGATTGGAATGTCAGGCTTACTGTCCTGGCACTTGTTACTTGCCCCTCATCACTTCCCGTCCCCCTTCTCTCCCACACTCAGAGCGGGTGAGGTCTGGGGAGTGGAAGGGTGTGACGGGCAAGCCCATCGACACCGTCGTCTCCATCGGTATCGGCGGCTCCGCTCTGGGTCCCCTCTTTGTCCACACCGCCCTCGCCACGGCCCCCGAGGCCGCCGCTCAGGTCGGTAAAACTTTGGCATTCAATGCAACTGCCGCCCTCCTGTGCATGCCATGAGCAATGGCAGCTGGCACTCGGCGACACCCTCTTAATCCCCTCCCTTGGACATCCGCACCCACCCCACCCCTCCTATTCAAAGGCGGGCGGCCGCAAGCTGGTCTTCCTGGCCAACGTCGACCCAGTGGACGCGGTGCGCAGCCTTGGCGACCTGAACCCGGAAACCACGCTGGCCATCGTGGTGTCCAAGACCTTCACCACCGCAGAAACCATGTTGAATGCACGCACCGCCAGGCAGGGCTCCGTGAATTGGGACAGTGTATGGGGACAACGGCCCTGTTGTGCATCCAGTAACTGAGCGGCATTGTGTCTCATACAGGGCAGGCTGCCTGCGTGCCTGGAAGGGTCCCGCCTCTAAGATGGTATGCCAAGCTAGCCTCCCTCATCCCCTCCCCCCGCCCTTTACCCCTCTCTCTCCACAGGGCCTGGCTGACGGCCGCGCTTGGTCAGGAGGCGGTGGCCAAGCACATGGTGGCCGTGTCCACCAACCTGCCGGCCGTCGGTGCCTTTGGCATCGACGCCGCCAACACCTTTGGCTTCTGGGACTGGGTGGGCGGCCGCTACTCGGTCTCCTCCGCCGTCGGCGTGCTGCCACTCAGCCTGCAGTACGGCTTCGGGGTCGTGCGCTCCTTCTTGGACGGCATGCAGACCATGGACGAGCACTACCGCACCGCGCCGCCCTCCAGCAACCTGCCCCTGCTCCAGGGCCTGTTCAACGTGTGGAACGCCACCTTCCTGGGCCACCCCACCACCGCCATCCTGCCCTACCAGCAGTCGCTGGCGCACTTTGCACCCCACGTGCAGCAGCTGTCCATGGAGTCCAACGGCAAGGGCGTGTCGCTGGACGGCACGACGCTTAACTTCGGCGCGGGCGAGATCGATTTTGGGGAGCCGGGGACCAATGGCCAGCACTCCTTCTACCAGCTGATCCACCAGGGGAGGGTCATCCCCGCCGAGTTCATTGCCATCGCTACCAGCCAGCAGGATGTCTACCTGGAGGTGTGTGGTGGGTGTTTGAGAGGAAAAAGGAGTCAAGAATGGCTTGGCACGGTTCCTGTGCTTGGGGTAGGGAGGGGGTGGGGTTTTGGACGGTGTCGCTCACTGTCGGGAACAACGCCGTGCCGCCGCCCCGCACTCTCTTGGAGCTCGTCCAAAGCATGCACCCGTTCTCTTCTCCCACAGGGCGAGAAGGTGTCGAGCCACGAGGAGCTGATGTGCAACTTCTTCGCCCAGCCCGACGCGCTGGCCCTGGGCAAGGATGCCGCGACCCTGGCGGGCGAGGGGGTTCCCCAGGCTCTCATCCCCCACAAGACCTTCACCGGCAATCGCCCCAGCCTGAGCCTGCTCCTCCCCGACCTCACCCCCTGCACCCTGGGCAAGCTGCTGGCGCTCTACGAGCACCGCGTGGCCACTTCCGGTTTCGTCTGGGGCATCAACTCCTTCGACCAGTGGGGCGTCGAGCTCGGCAAGGTGACGAGGGGGGTGGTGGATGTGTGGGGATTGAGGGTACTCGGGGAGGACTGGCAGTCACAGGACCCTTTCCACTGGCGCCAGCCCCAACTCTGTCTGAGGTGCTGGCCGGCGCTCGGTGTCTCGCCTACGGCGCTGCATGGGCACACGCTGACGAGCTCTGCGAGTGTCCCGAGTCAACCTCCCCTCCCCACCCCCCCTCCTGCAACAGGCGCTGGCCAACAAGGTGCGCGCCAGCCTCGCCGCCGCGCGCTCCAATGGCAACGCCCTGCGCGCCGACGAGGGCTTCAACTCGAGCACCGCGGCGCTGCTCGGCCGCTTCCTGAAGCAGTACCAGCCCAAGGGGCCTTCGGATGGCGCCCCCGCTCTGCCCTCCGCGTTGCAGTCGGCCTGATGGGCGCGTCGGAAACGCTGGGCGCAAGGTGTGCGAGGAGCTGGAGGCAGGGAGTGGGAGCCCCAAGGCCATCATCCGGCCGGCCCCTGCTCCGGCAGGCAGCCCGGGGGAGGGCGCAGCCAGGGTCTCATGGCTTGCAAGCTGCCAGACAGCAGCCATGAGATGTATCCATGTGCTCGTCGAGAGCGATTTGCTTACCAGAACTTTGCTCTGAGACCTGAATTGGCTGACAAGGCATGTGCGGTCCTCAGCCCACAACTGAGCCTGGGCATGTCTGGGCGCCGGGGACTCATCAGCGAGCCACCTTTGCTTGTGCCCTGCCTTGGTGACAGTGTGTGGTCACAACAAGATACTGTGTCAGTGCCTCGAGTGGAAGACTGCGGGTCCACCCCTCCGCAGCAGGCAAGGGCGTGCAGGTTCAAGTGGTGGGAGAATAGGACACCAAGCCCTCTTCCCTGGGGTGCCTTCAAGGCGCTCGGCGGACGCAGAGGGTGGGAGCGCAGTGCTCCGAGGCATTCGCGGGCGAGGGCTGGCAACTGTGCACGTGGCGCCTCGCCAGGCACCACTCCCGCCGGCCACCGCTGCGCCGTCTGGCGCCCCCGCCAGGTCCCGCCCGCCTCAGCCCTGCTTGCCCAGCTCCACCTTTTTGGCCATGCTGTGCAGGGAGTGGGTGATGCCGTCCACGATGCCCGCCACGGTGAACACGCCGCCGATCACGGCGCATGTGGAGATGAGGAAGGAGAAGAGGGGCTTGCGCACCTCCCCCACCAGGATCTGGATGGGGGACATGGTGTACGACACCTTGACCGAGGCGTGGTCGGCGGCGTCGTACACGTGGGACTGCACCGTGTACTCATACGCATCGTAGGCATCGTGCCCCCGCCCCGCCTCGATGGTGGTCAGCACCACCTGCGCATAGTGCTCATAGGTGGCGCCCGTGGAGGGGTTGGTGAAGGAGCGCCCGCGCAGCTTGTCCGACCAGTCGTGCGCCAGGCCGTGGGGATGCAGCCGGGCCAGCGCCGCGCGGCGCCTGTGATTGTTGGAGGGATGAGGAGGAGGGGTGGGGGGGTGTTCGTGGCTGCCATGGTGGGGGGGCTGGGGCCACGACAAGGCCAGTGAGCGGAGCGATGTGAGTCACAGACACAGCCTGCCAGGCACCCACCAATAATCCACATGCTGGCTCCAACGACTGCAGAGGCGGGGGAGGACAGTTGCAGCCCCTCCCACACACCCCAAAGCCCCCCCCCCCCCTATAAATCCTACTTGGGCGAGGGCGCGAGGCCAAAATAGAGGTGGTTCACGGTGTGCGACAGGTCCTGGGCCAGGAAGTCGATTGAGTGGCCCGGGGCGCGTGCCACAAAGTGCATGGTCCCGGGCACCTTCTTCACCATGATGAAGCCGGCAAAATTGCAGCCCGAGGCGGCGGTCGCGGCGCGGACCGTACTGAGCTGGCGCGCGGCCAGGTTGGGCGTGCCCACCGTCGGCGGCACCAGCTTGTCCGCCAGCGCAGTCAGGGCCTCCTTGGTGCGGTCGCCGTAGTAGGCGTCGTGCTCCCGGTGGCCCATGCGCTGCGAGGCGGTGATTTGGGGGGGAAAGACAGGGTTGGGGGTCAGAAACATTCTTAAACATGGGAGGGGAAGGAGAAGACTGCTTTGGTTTGGCTGCCCAGCAGCTGATCTCCCTTGCAAACTAGATATCCAGTGAGTCAAAGCCCGATCGCCATAGCGGCGGCGGATGAGGCGTCCTCGGCTTAACCAGGGTCAAATGCTTGCAGATGGACCCTTTGCAGAGGGCCTGCAGAGGGTTCCTGCAGCATCCAAGATCACACCTCTCAATCCCTCTCTACATCCAAATGCCGCAATCCACGTACCTCCTACATATACCCCCCCATTGCCGCCTCACCACGACCTCGTCGGAGCCCTTGTGGAAGATGCGGATGGAAGGGAAAGCGGAGATGAAGTGCTGGCGGCACAGCGGCGCCTGCGCCACGCAGTCCACCTTGGCAAACCGGATGCGGCGCTCGGCGTCGGGGTACTTGGCGTGCACCGCCTCGGTGACCGCCTCCCAGGTTGGCGCCAGGCGCTGGCACCAGGAGCACCAGGGCGCGAAGAAGTTGACCACCACCACCTCGTAGGCCGCCAGGGTCGCGTCGAACGTGGCCCCCGACAGCGGTGTGGCGATGTCCACGTTCTCGTACTGGAAGCCCTGCGGCGGGAGATTTGTTTTGAGGGGGGTTTCTTGGGGCTGGGCAGTCATTGCCTGGATGGGAATGGATGGCCATTCGCGCCCTCAGGACTCCATTCCCCAAGGGGCACACGGCAAGCGCGAGCATTTCAGCATTGGCATTCACCAAACGGAGTTTGTGGGGGTCCCAGCTGAGCACAGCAGTGTCCAGTGCAAGTCCACGACGCACTCCTGCGGGCATCGACCGCCCAGCATGCCAGGCGTCCACCCCACACCTTCGTTCCAGCTCCAAAACACTACCCCTTCCAAACCCTGGCCCCCTTCGCCAGCCTCACCGGGTGCTCCTCATCGTACTCAGGGTTGTGGTGCGCCGCGTCCTCCAGCCCCAGTCCGACTCGCTCCAGGCGGTCGTTCAGCGGCACCTTGCGCACAGTCTTGGTCAAGTTGAGCCGCTTGAGGCCCATGGCGTCGGAGATGTCCAGCGTGGCGAACTCGCAGCTCATGCGCGGGAAGCTGAGGTCGAAGTTGACGCGCAGGAGTTCACCGTGCGCCGATCGGTCCACGATCATCTCGGTGTGGGTGCTGGTCTTCAGGAAGGAGTGCATCTCCTGCGATGGGGACGGCAGGGGTTGGTGGTGGGAGGGGCTCTGCGCCGGCTCCTGGGTCGCCATTAGGTACACTCGGGGCACGCAAGGCTACACCATCACGCATCTCACCAGGCCCAGCAGGAGGAGGATGAGGGTGGCCGCGGTGACGGAGATGACGGCCCCAGCCAGGGTTGTCTCGGTGAGATCACTACGGGGTGGGAGCGGGCATCTCATTCATGCACAGCGCTCCAAGAGGAAAGGCACGCAATGAAATATGCTACCAATACCTTGGGATCTTCTTGTAGAAGTCCACCGCCCGCAGGCGCTGCAGCACCCGCGGAGCCATCGCGTTGGTTGTCCAACTCCCGACTTATTGCCCCTTGAGAGCCTGTGCACGACACATACCCTGATCTGAGCCAATGGGTTGTGTGTTCCAAATACGCTTGGAACACTACGCAAATGCAATGGTTCTGCATGCGTCTGACCATTTTTGCATCGAGGCGAGAGTGGTCCGAGCGCGCCCAAAACATCAAGCACATTCACTGCATGGATGCCACGATCCTAAACGATCTGGCATGCTCCTTCCCACTTGACGGCATTTGATGGTATTGCTAGCAGCATAGATACAGAAATTCGGCGATATGACGGAAGCCGCTACTGCGGGTGACGAACCCATCGGCTGGTGCTATCTGGATGCCAGCTCCCAGAGCCAGGGGCCCTTTCCCCTCGACTACTTGCAACGTGAGAGGAACTGGAGGGGTCGTGCAATGTATTAAGTGGACTGATCGGCGTGCTGCAGAGTGGTCCCCCTCTCGCCTGTCCATGCAGGCCTGCAACAGGCTGGATACTTCCATGCCGAAACGCTTTTCTGGCGGGAGGGGCAGGCGGAGTGGAAACACCTGCAAGATCTCCCCGACCTCCACGCCTCCCTGGAGGCAGCCACACTGGCGGCTGCCCCACCTCCAGCGGCGCAGGGAGCAGCAGTGGATGGATCAACCGGCGATGGCCCGGCAGCCCCGCAGGATGACCTGAGCACCTTCATGGCTGAGATCTCGGCGCTGGATGCTGAGGTAGGGGGGATTGCTGGATACTCGGGCCGGTGCTGCATCAAAGGAAGGAACAGGAACCATTCGCGCCCCCGATTCTCGCCTCTGTTCCACAGCAGGCTGATGATGGGCCCAGCACCCCACCGCCCGAGGAGCAGACCTTCACTGATGACGATGGCACGGTCTACAGCTGGGACCCGGCCACGCGAAAGTTCCTGCCACGGGGTCAGGGGGGCCCAGGCGGTGCTGCTGTGCAGTATAACCCAGAGGACATGGTTTTTGAGGGGGAGGAGCTGGACATCCCGGATTTTGTCCGCCCAGGAGACGAGGTCAGGACCTGGTCGAGGGCCTGGGTGGTGCGGGGGTTGCACTCTGGAGCGAGAAGGAATGTGCCGAGGGAAGACTTGGTGGTGGTCAACCTGGGTTCTGAGATGCACTTTGAATTCGAAGCCGGCTCACAGCCATGTCGAGTCCTCGTCGCCACCACAGTCTTCTGCTTCCGACGGAGAGGAGGAGTCCAAGAAAAAGAAGGCAAAGCCTGACGCCAAGACTGGCAAGCCAGCATCAGAGGCAGCCAAGGATCCCGTGAAGGAGGAGCAGCCTTCGAGCCGCGAGGCACTGTTGGCAGAGGTACGGTGGATTGAGCAGGGTTGATTGGCCCTTCCCTGCTCCTCGTCTGTGATTCATCCTCGGATTTCAGTGCCTGAGCTCATGAGCCACCGCTGGTTGCCGATTCCCATCCCCACAACCCCACCTACCACACCCAGGCAAAGGAGAAGGCAGCCCAGAAGAAGCAGGCGCGGGCAGCCTCCAGCGCGGAGTGGTTTGAGCTGAAGCGGAACACCAGCGTGTATGTGACGGGCCTCCCAGAGGATGTCACCCTGGCAGAGATGGTGGAGACCTTTTCAAAGTGTGGCATCATCAAGGAGGATGACCAGGTGCGATGTATGTTAGATTGCGATGAGAAGAGGATGGATGGATGGATCGATGGATGGATGGGTGGGTGGATGGGCAGCTTGTGCATGAAATGCGTCAGGCCTGGTACTGCCCATTCATGGTAGTATGTAGGCAAGGCTTCCCTCCGAGTGCAATCCTCATTCAATGGGATATCTTACCCACTCGGAACATTACTACTACATTGCAGCGGCAACCCCGCATCAAGATCTACCAGGACTCCAATGGCATGCCCAAGGGTGACGGGCTGGTGACCTTCCTGAAGGAGCCGTCGGTGGATTTGGCGGTGCAGCTGCTTGATGGTGTGGCATTCCGCTACGGGCTCCAGGTGAGGAGAAATGTTCCCTGAAATGAGCTGGGAGTCTCACGTTAGATTGACAGGAGGATTGAGCAACCAGCATGATGAGGCCGCACTGCTGGCAATAGCCCCCTGCACCTCATTGGCTGCCTGTGGCAAGGACGACCGAGTCCTCCGATGCGAAGCTGGTTTTGCGAGGGTCTCTCAACAGCACTTTGGCCTCTCATCCCACTGCCCCCCTAGAACATGACGGTGTCGCCCGCCAAGTTCGAGCTCAAGGGCGAGGGCTTCAAGCCCAAGCAGAGCGCCGGGAACAAAAAGCGTAAGAAGAAGGTGCTGGAGTCGTTGGAGAAGCAGGCCCTCACCTGGGACGGCTTCGAGGACAAGCTGGCGCCCACCCAGGTCTGGTTGTGCGGTGGGATTTGAGATGGGGACGCTGGTGCCACCAGACCCAAGCCTGCAACGGAGCAGCTTGTGTGGAATCAAGACCGGACTGCTGCCACATCTTGGGCGCGGAGTTCAACATCAATTGAAGTGTGTTTTGGCAGCTCGCTTGATTGGCTTATAGAGTGGGGGCGCCTTGAACAGAAGCTCCATCTCCTCTTTTCCAGACAAGGCAGCAATCCCTCCCTGCCGGAACCACCCCTCCATGGCAGGTCACCGTGATCATCAAGCACATGTTCACCATCGACGAGATACTGGAAAACCCCCTCTACAGCGAGGAAATTGAGAGGGATGTCCTCGCAGAGGCGGGCAGGCTGGGACGAGTGGAGAAGGTGAGATGGCACAAAGGTGTTGTGTGAAGTATAATCAGCAGTTGCACGGGAGCAGGAAGCTGGCATCACATTGCATCTTTCGACTGCATACCGCATAGCATTGGGAGCCGCTTGGGCAACACACTCTCCATGCGAGCTTTTTGGTCATCACTGCCTCTTCATACTCCCATCCACACTCCCTACACCTCAGGTCAAGGTGTACAAGGGCAACCCCGATGGCGTGGTGTCGATCAAGTTTGCCACAGGGGAGGCAGCAGACAAGTGTGTAAAGCTGATGGAGGGCCGCTTCTTTGCCGGGCGACGGCTGGCGGCATTCATGTGGGACGGGTACACCAACTACAACATGAAGCTGCAGGAGACTGAGGAGCAGCAGGCAGCCCGACTGGAAGCATTTGGAAGGGAGCTCGAGGAGGGAGGGAAGGAGCAATGACTGGTGGATAATTGCTGCTCGTAAAACGCAATCTGTATGTTGAAAGGTGCACATCCAATCTTTCCAGGACTGAAAGGTATGCCAGGGCGCGAGATTCACTCCCATCGGAATACGAGATTAGCGACCCACAGGGAAGTATACGAGTAAATTGTATGCACACGTGCTCGCTGTAGACATCAAAATTTTGATAGAACTTGGTGTGAGAGGGAGCCACTCCAGCTGGATCGAGTGCCGGTTCCCCTCAAGGCACCCACCCCTGTGGACACCCGAATCCATTGCAGCGGGGTCTCCATGGAGGCGATGGAGGGGGTAGTGCATGAAGTAGACAATGGGACCGTCTCTGCCGCATCACACACCGTGTACGTGAGTAACATCTTCGAGAAGTTGAAGCTTGAAGGTGCGACGGAGCGAGGCGTGGAGGGATTCAACGCGTCGATGCTGTCCTCTTATCACGCTTTAAACCACTCCGACATATTCATACCGCAGAGCTCAAAAATTGCATGCGGACAATCTTCGAGCAATTCGGGCCGGTGCTGGACGTGGTCGCTCGCAAGACATATCGCCTGAGAGGCCAGGCGTGGGTGGTGTTTGAGAGGGCAGAGGATGCCGAGAAGGCTGTCAAGCTCCTACAAGGTTTCCCGTTCTACAGCAAGCAGCTGGTGGGTGGTGCTGTGGGGTCAGCGCTCCTCTGGGCAGGGGGGATGAAAGCCCTTCACCCGGGAGCTTGCTCAGTGCACGTGCGTCTACAGGGTGGACGAGCAACATGATGTGTCTTGCGCCCCGATCCACACAAGCTGGTCCCAACCCCTACACCCCGCAGAAGCTAGCCCTGGCGAAAACGAAATCTGATGCTGTCGCCAAGGTAGAGGGCGTGTACTCTGAGGAGTACGTTGAGGCGCGACGCAAAAAGGCCAAGGAAGACAAACGTGCGTGGGATCGGCAAGGTGGATTGGTTTTGCAGAGGTCCCATGAGGTCGGCTGGTGAAAAGGCGAGCACACTCCGATGTACTGGCAGCCTATCACCCTCTACGCCGACTCATTGTGCTTCCATGCTGCCTCTCCGCAGAGGCCGTCGCAGCGGTCGCAGAGCCGGCTCCCGTCGGCTATGCGCCACCTGTCCAGGGGGGCCCAGCCGCCGTCCATCCCGCAGAGCAGGCGGTGAATGCGCCCAACAAGATCCTGTTCCTGGAGAACGTCCCTGCCGGGACCAACGAAGGCATGCTCTCCGTCCTCTTCACACAGTACCCCGGTTTCGTGGAGGTACGCAGGGGTAGGCCTGTGCATTGATGTTTGAGAAGGCACTGGCCGGCTGCATGGCTTGCGTGTCGGCCTCGCAAGCCGCCCCCCCATCCCCCGCTCCTGGGCTGCTCCCTGCGTAGGTGCGGCTCGTCCCCCAGCGCCCCGGCATCGCATTCGTGGAGTTTGGCGATGAGCGGCAGGCAGGCACGGCCATGGTCTCCCTCCAGGGCTTCAAGATGGCCACCGACATGCCCCTGCGCATCACCTTTGCCAAGCAGTGACCCCCGCCGAATGGTGTGCAAGTGATTCGGTCTCTTGCTCTGGCGCAAGGGTACATCAAGGGTCTTTTGCAGATGAGCAGGTGCGGGGACGTCCACATTCAGATTACAGCAAGAGCCGCGCAGCGCGGTCTCGCACTGCGCGGGCCTCACCCACGCTTCAGCACGTTCATCTCCTCCTCGCGCGGAGCTCGCGCCACTGGCTGCACTGCTGCGCCCCTGCTGGTGCCTCGCTGTAGGGCCGCGCCTGTGTGACGGAGCGGCATGGTGAGGAAGATCCATGCATGATCATCAGGAAACCTGAACCTGGTGAGAGCTGCGGCACAACCCCCGGGATACCATCTCACCCAGTGCTGGCAGCCAGGGAGGCACCTGCACCATCCATTCCTCCCTTCTTCCTCACCTGTCACACCCCCCGCGGCGACCAGGAACGCGCCGGACTTTGCCCCTGCTGCCAGGCCCAGGGGTCCCGCCATGAGGCCCCCCAGGGCCGCACCAGCAGCGACCGCCCCAGTGAGGGCGAGGGGGGCACCCTCCAGGCGCTCGCGCGCGTCTGTCACCACAGATGACACCGAGCCCTGGGCCCTGCTGAGGAGGTCGGTGCCAGTGGAGCCGAGGCTGGGCACGGGTGGGAGGTAGGCTGCCCAGCCCGAGGACACCTCCGCCTCGGCTTGTGCGTGCCTGCCGCATGACGTTCCTGGTGAGATGCCCGCATTGTCACGCGCCACAGGTAGAAGGTGGCCAAGCCCACGCCCTTGGCCCGCCTCGTATGCCTCGGCAGGAGTGCCCCGACTCGACACCGGGAGCGAGGCTGAGGAGCTTGTGCTTGGGGAACGAAGAGGGTCCCTGGATACCCGCGGGTCGGGTTCCTGCAGTATGGCATCCAAATCTTCGAGTGTCTCCGGCTGCGGCACAAAGTAGGCTCTGGCCGCTGAGAACCACTCCGCCATGGATCACTTCGGCACCCGCGCTGGTCACGAGCGTTCACGCAGCCGATGTTCGTATGGAGCTCTCATCGTGATTGAATCTGTTGTACATCATCGTACCTGACGAACGGCCGCTCTATTGAGGCTGCGATGCTGGCACCGACTCCTAGCGATACCCTATGCGAGGCGCGAAGTCCGACAGCACAGCAAAAATCCGACCTCCCCGCCCCGTCTGCGGGGATGGTGAAGCGTCGTACCGTGCATCAATTTGACAACCATGTTTGGTCTCTTCTCACCATGAAGATCGTCGGGCTGTCCGGGGGAATCGCGACGGGGAAGTCCACCTTCGCTGCAGAGTTGAGGACTTTGGGGTTCCCAGTCATCGACTCTGATGACATCGCAAAGCTGGTCGTGAAAAAGGTGAATCATTCAAGGGCTTGAAGGGCAGTCTGTATCTTTTTTGAACCTCGTATGAGAGCTCCAAAGCCACGGCGTTGCAGGGGCGATGGGCGCACCGACGTATCGTCAAGGCTTTCGGCAGCGGCGTACTCACACCCGATGGTACGGCCTCCTGCAGACAGAGATCTGGGGCATATGGCATATACCGAAACCTAGATGCCTCAATTATGGAAGAGCACACCTGCACTGCTCCGCGCAGGAGAGGTGGATCGTGAGAAGCTGGGTGACATCATTTTTAGGGACCCGCACGCACGCCGGGCTCTGAACTCAGCCACTCACCTCCCCATCCTGGGGTATCTCCTTGCTGACTTGCTCTCCAACTTTCTACGCTTCAAGACAGTCGTGGTGGGTACATGGCGCTGTCCCGCAGTCCTTTCGGAGGTCATGTTCTTGGACTCGCGTGGGCTGGCATCTCCCACACTTGTCGTTGCTTGCAAAGGGTCTCCACGTCCCTCTATACACAAGCAATGCTACACGCCATGCATCACGCCCCTGACATTCCCATCCAGATCGTTGACATGCCACTCCTCTTTGAAACGGGGTTCTATCACTTCACCAGCCCCCGCCTGCTGGTAGCTGCCGGGGAGGGCATGCAGCGCCGCCGCCTGATGGCCAGGGACGGATTGAGCGAGGAGGCAGCCGATGTCCGCGTCTCCTCCCAGATGCCACTCTCTGCCAAGAGGAGGCTGGCTGACATCGTGGTCGAAAATGATGGGGACGTGGAGGAGCTGAGGCAATCCGCACGGACTGTGGGTGGATTGCTGCAGCGTCATCGCTGGCTGCACATCTGGTTTTTCTCGCCGCTGGGCCTGGGTTTGGTGGCTGCGGCCCTCTTCTCACTGCGCTGAGGATGTACTTGTATTACTCAGGAGACCTTGACTTTTGTATCCAATCACTGTAGCGATAGTGTACGTGTACCTGCATGGTTGCCGTGTACACATCGCCTCCTGTGTATATTCGACCTGGACGCCCGATACTTCGCTGTGTTTCTCAGCATCCGGATTGTCCGCGGCTCGGGACCGGAGTGGGTGTCCATACCTTGATCCCATTTTTCCACCAATCTCTCTCCATATTAACAGCTTGGAGAGCGAAAGATTCAAAGAAAACAATTCAAGCTCTCTGTGATGCTGCGGTGGCGGGCATGGTGAATTCTGAGGTGTTGACCGGGTCGACATGTTCGGCTTCGTGAGCGCGCTCAACAGTGCCTTGCAACCTGTACGTCCCAATAGTGTGCCCTCTGGACCTTGGGCACCTAGAGCATCCCATAAACAGCCCACGACTGTCACTCGCTGGCCCTGGCTGGGCGGGGAGCTGACTCGGCTTCAGGATGAGTATTCTCGTCTGCAGATCCTGTACGCGGGTCTCGCCACAGGACGCCGTGCCGACCCGCGACCGCATCGCCTGCTCACGAGTAAGATTGGTGGCATCCAGGCGATGTGCGTGGCATGGTGGATTTTTACCGCCACGAGATGTTGTACTCAAGGTTACCTCCACCATACACCCTGTGCACTCCATTGGCACAGCCGTACGCTGGTCCCGTCACATCAGCAAGGCGCAGAGAGTGCGGCCCCGGTCAGCATTGCTCCACCCCTGCCAGAAACCTCTACCGCACCCCTCCGCACGTGCCCGATCTGGAGCTGCCGGGCAATCCCAGGCTGGACGGCACCATCCCCCCGCCAAGCGACCAGAATGGAACGACCAGGTGGTCAGCAAACCTGCCACCGAGAAGACCGCAGGTTACCTGAGGGCAGGGTCACGCAACGCTCGCGTTGCCCTTCCGAAGTCTGGTCCAGGTCAGCCAGCGCATGGTCAGCAGGGCAGCGCAAAGGTCGCGAGCGCGACGGCCCGCCTCATGGCCGCCAGCCGTGCACGGATGCTGCGGAGCAGTGCAGGGGGCCAGGCTGGCGCTTCCTGGGCCGTCACTGTGGTGAGGGTCCCTGTCAGGCTGGGGTCTGGGGAGCAGGAACAACCATGAGGAGGTATGGCTGCTTGCTTGATTGCTATTCCAAATGGATCCCCTCTGATGCTGTGCATGCCCGCCTCTGGGTGCATCCTGCGTGCGCCCTCTGCTCGCCTTCTACCCTTTGCTCGACATGCATACTGCAGGTCACCGGTCCAGGGGAGGTGTACACCCCCACACCTCGCCAGGGACCGGACCCAGCCTCCAGATCAGCTGGTGAGGGTGGCTGGGCTGCGGGGTCCAGCTCGCCGCGGCAACCCCAGACCCGAGCGGCAAGGCTGCAGGCCCAAGCCTGGGGAGAACTGGGGGGTGAGTATTTGCTGAGAGTTGGTTAAATTGGATTGTTGATGGCGCCTCAAGCTGCAGGCTTACTCTGACTGCCCAACCTGTGTGTGTGCAGGCATGTCGCTGTGTGAATTCATGCAGCCGGTTGCCAAAGTGTGAGCACCCTATCTTGGGGTGGACCCTCCGAAACTACCCATCCTCCGACATCAAAGGCTCGACCGGCGAAACATGTACAACTCGGTCAAATAACAACACCGCACCTATTTCTAATGATATCAGACTACATTACATGGAGCAGAACTACTCCACACGAACAAGCTGCATATGTCCACTTTTACCGGCTTGTCAGATCAGCCACCAGACGTGATCCTGGTGCTGGTGCTGCACCTCGCCTCAGACCCCGATCGACGGCTGAGAGACGTCATCAACCTCGCATTCGCATCCAAGTCTCTATTGAGCTCGGTCACAGGCCTTGATGTGTTCTGGACCAACTGGTCCCGCACCGTCTTCGGCAGGTGAGCCCCAGGGTGGGGCTCCGCTTGGGTGGGCATGCAGCAACTTACCATGCTCCCCCCACAGGATCGTTTGGGTGGCATAGGCCCCTAAGCACCTCTAGGCAATCAACCCCCCCCTCACATTCCAATCACGGGCCTCTCGTCTTTCCCATGCAGACCCAGGGAGACTGAGACTGTCCTGCCCCTGTGGTCGGGGTGGTCATACTTCTCGGGCCGCATGCGCCGCCGTTTCCACCTGTGTCGGGCCATGCATGCCCTGCTGTTCAGGCACCCTGCCCCCACGTACCTGATGTCGGGCCATGACATCCCGACGCTGCTTGCGGCAGAGGCCGGACATGGGGTGGAGCTGCCTGAGTGCCTGTGGGACTTGTGGCGGGTCTACGATGGTCACTCCAACAAGTCTTCCAGGGGCATCTTCCAGGGGGCGCACATGCTGCGGCTGCAGGAGGCGCTGGAGCGGCTGTCCTCCCACCGACCCGGGCCGTGCATGGGGGGGCCGCCGGGGACGGACATGGAGCCGGGGCCCCTGATGCCATTCACCACCGGTCCTCCGTACTACCCCTGCGGATTCTACACGGCCGACCCCCAAGGCCGGGTGTGGCTGACCAGCAGCAAGGTGAGCTGGTACGTCGCAGACACCCTGACGGAGATGGTCCGGCTCGCAATGACAGGAGAACTGGCGGAGAAGAGGGGGATCGTGCTTGCCGCCTCCACGCCTGTGACAGGCTGAACAAGGAATGGGTGTGCGCACCGGCACACCTGCGGCCCCCGCTTGGCCTGCCCAGGGTGTCGGGGGCTGTACAGTCAGGGTGCACCGCAAGGAAGAGGGGGTTGCCAAGAGACAGCGTGGTCGGACCGTCGCATGCTGCGGCAGTGTGTGCATGGGGGGATGTGTAATGTGGCAGGGCCGGGCCACCTCATGCCAGCAGCGGTGCCGGCCTGCGGGCGAGGACCTTCCCCGGCGGCGCGCGCTGCAGGACCTTCATGAGCCCCGTGCCGGTGGGCATGGGGATGCCCATGATGATGGACTCGCTCACGCCTGCGATGGGGCGGCGGGGCGGTTTGATGCGGCGCCGACGTGCAGGCTAAGGGCCGTACCCAACACAGGCTGCTCTCTGTGTGGAGGTGAACTCCAGTAGTGGTCGGCGGCGCCGGCCGCCCATGTCGAGAGCGCACCTCCTCGCTCCTCACCATTCCATAAGCGAGGCACTTCCCATGACCCTCTTAATGCCCCGGACCCCCCCCAATTTCCCCCTCTCCCCAACGTCTCCTCACCCGTGATGTCGTCCACGCGGCCGTGCAGCGCGGCGTCAAACAGGTGGTCGGTGGTCTTCTCAAAGCTGGCCAGCATGAGGACCGAGTCCTTCATCTTGGCGATGCCGAAGCGCGTGATGCCCAGCACCTCCCCCCGCGCCGTCATGCAGTCGGCCAGAAGCATGGTGTGTCGCGCGTCGATGGCCATGCCGTGCTGCCCCATGGTGTAGGCGATCTCCTCCATCACCGTGGCGCGCGCGGCCTCGATGCCCAGCGTCGCCACCACCTCCGCCACGTGGTTGCTCCGCGTCGCCAGCCCCGCCACGCCGGGCGTGCCCATCACCGCCTGGGATGTTTGGTTGGTGGGGGGAAGGGGAAAGGGGCTCAGGCTCTCGTACATGGTGGCAAGGGAGGTTTAGGTGGGTGGCAACTGCACGTGTGACGGTCTCTTGGGGCCCTCTGGGGGCAGCAGGAGATGCACCAGGGGGCCATACACGTATGAGACAGAGTCACGGTGTGCTGTCATGCGTCCACCTTATCCTGGACACGCGAGCAGGGCTTGATGACTCCCACAGCGGCTGACAGCAAGCCCCACCAGGTGGCGTCGTTGATCTACCATCCCCCCCTTCCTCGCCCCAAAGCACCACCCCATCCTCCTCCGCACCGCGAGGTTGGTGCCCTCCACGAGCAGATTGAAGCCGCCGCCCTGCTTCTTGTTGATCACGGCGCGCTCCACCGTGGGGATGCCCCTCACGATGACCCCGGGCAGCGCATTCTCCAGCGTCTGCAGCTGGAAGAGGACGGGCACCCGAGCCGGCTCCAGCGGCGGCCGCACCTCCAGCTGGTCCTCACCGAGCGTGCTGAAACGGAGGTCATGCAGGCGGGTGGAGGGAACAGGGTGAGGAGGACGGCTGATCTATGTGAGCGTCCTCACAGCTGCTCCGCTGCCTGTCCAGAATCGGCATTCCCAATGTGGCCCCCACCCTCCCCTGCTGTCTACGGAATCCCACAGCTGCCGGCCCCCCCCCCCTTCGCCCTTGCTCACAGGATGTGCTCGGCCTTCAGCTTGAGTTTGGGCGCCTCCATCAGGGCCAGCTTCACGGTGGAGGCATTGAGGCCCAGCTGCAGCTTGTGGATGTTCTCCATGTCCAGACGCACTGCAGGGCAGGTATGTGGGGTGCAAAGGGGATATGTGAGCGAGGGGAGAGGCAGTGATGTATGGGGACAGATACCGCGGACGAGCAGGGTCTGGGCAGCCAGACACGATATCTTGCAACACATCTAATGAGCCATCCTGTGCAACACGGACGTCCCCCTTCTCAGCGGCAGGGCAGCACAGCCAATGCATGCAAAACCAAGTGCGATTTGCAGCAGGACACCTCAACCCCAGCGCCAGGATCAGTGTGTCCCAATCCCTCGCGGCGCACCCTGGACATGGCTCCCGCTGGGCTTGAGCATGATGCGGATGGAGGCGGCCACTCCGCCGAGGCGCGTGCGCTCCAGGCGCCCCTTCACGATCCGCGCCGCCTGCTCCGAGCCGTCCACCGATAAAGCGACCTGGTTTGGGTGGGGGACGAGGGAGGTTTGCTGGCGCGTTGGAGTTGAGGGAGAGTCTCTGAGATGTGCATGGCGCAGGGTGTCAGTCGTCGCACTCCCAACGTTACATCTTGATCATTCCCACTGGCTGATTCATGAGCACGCCGGCCTGCTGCTCTTGCCACCCCAGCTCAGCCCAGCGCCCTGACCTGCATCAGCGGCGTGGAGATGTTCTTGGCCGCGTTGATGATCTCCTTGAGCCGCGGGACTCCCAGCGTCACGTTCATGGACGCGACGCCGGCAAAGTGGAACGTTTTGAGCGTCATCTGCGTGCCAGGCTCGCCTGTGGATGGAGGAGCGAGCGGGGGGATGGATTGATGTGTGTGGGCGTCGACAAGCAGACAGACAAAAGTATATGGCGGCACATGTGTAGCGTCTCCTGCCTCCGAAATCCACACAGTGCCTCTGATCGCAGGCACACCATCCACGGAGCGCTCTCCCCTTCTTCAACCCCCTCAGAGTCATTCATCTCCCGTCCGCGCACCGATGCTCTGCGCGCCAAAGGCCCCGACCGTCGCCCCGGGCTCGATGCGCTTGCGCTCGTAGCGCGCGGCGCACTGCGCCACGAACCCTGCCAGCGCCTCGCGCGTCAGCGCCTGCACGCGCACGAGGTGCTCCAGGTGGCCGGCACCCCGCGCGTCGGCGGGCAGGCCCAGGCGTGCCCGCGCGGCGCGCAGCGCAGCGACCTGCTCGGCGAGGAAGGTCGCCAGCCGGTCGCGGAAGGCGGCGCTGGAGAAGGGGGAGCCCTCGCCAAAGGTGCCTTGGCCCAGCACCTGCGCCACCGCCGCCTCCAGCTCCGCGGGGAGCGGGCAGGCCTGCGTGGAGAGGCGCGCGCCGGGCGCGGCGATTTCTTCCTTTGCCGCCCCTTCGCCACCTTCCCGAGGCCTGCGGGGGGAGCCGGTCGCGTCATGGGTCGCGCCATGGCCCGTGCCCTGGGCAGCTGCGCTCGCGTCTCGCTCGGCCTCGCCCGTCGCTGCCTCGCTGGCGTCCCGCTGTGCACCGTCATGGGCACCCCCGCTGCTTGCCTGCACGACGCTGGCCACGCCCCCGCTGGCCGCGCTGCTGGCCATCATCCCCGCTCCTCCCGCTCGCCCAGCGGCGCCGGCGCCCGTGGCCTTGATCAGGGCCAGGACGCGCTGGAACGCCACGGGCTCGCCGTCCTTTCCTTCCATGCCCACAGGGTCCATGCCGTCCTCTCCGTACTGCAGCTGCACCACGCCGCCCGCGGCATTGCGCACGGTGCCGTCGTAGTGCGCGTACAGGTCCTCCAGCGCCTTCATCAGCCGGCGCGACATGTACCCCGTCTCGGCGGTCTTCACCGCAGTGTCCACCAGCCCCTCCCGCCCCGCCATGGTGTGGAAGAAGAACTCGGTGGGGGTGAGGCCCGAGTAGAAGGAGTTGGCCACGAAGCCCTTGCCCGCCGGCGTGCAGTCGCCGCGCGGGAAGTGGGGCAGCGAGCGGTCGGTGAAGCCGTTGGGCGTGCGCTTGCCGCCCACCGACTGCTGCCCCACGCAGGCCACCATCTGGGCGATGTTGATGGGGGAGCCCTTGGACCCACACTGGCTCATGATGAGGGGGGAGTTCAGGGGGTGCAGCGACGCCATACACACCTGGGGGTGCGTTGGGTAGGGGGTCGTGGCATGGGGCAGGAGGGTGCTGTGGTGGGGGTGGAGACGCCACAGGCGACAGGCATGGAAAGTGGATGCCACCACCCAAACCACAAGCACCCAGCGCCCCCACCTTGGCGGCCTGCTCCCGGATGTTGTTCAATACCCCGGTCACCGAGGCCTCCAGCGACTCCTCTGCGTTGCACCCCGGCTGCAGCGCCAGCTTCCCCCGGCCGTAGGCAGCGATGAAGTCGTCGCACTGCCCGTAACCCGCGGCCAGCGTGGCGGCCTTGGCGCGCTGCAGCTCCGGCGCCGGGGTCACGTCGTCGATGCCGATGGAGAAGCCCTGGTCGCCGATGAAGCGCGCCGACAGCTTGGCCAGGCGTGACATGGCCTCTGCGGCGACGGCTGCTGAGTAGTCGGCCATGAGCACCTGGAAGAGACCGGCCTTGTTGCCGCCGCCCAGCGTCACCTTGCCCAGGCGGCCACAGATGAGGTGGGAGTTGTGGAAGCAGACGTAGCCGTCCGCGGGGCACATGTGCTGGCCCTGCTTGGTGTAGATCTTCTCCGCCGTCTCCAGGCTCACAAACAGCCTGAATGAATAAGGGGGGATTTTTTGGGGGTCCTTGGGTTGGGTGTGCGGTGGGTGAAAGGAGCTGGGAGATGCTGAGACTGAGCAAGCACATGCGTCAACCTACTGCAGGGACCCCATCAGCCCCTCCATCTGAGTATTCCCTTGCAATCTCCCCACCACCAGCAACCAAGATCCTCTCCCCAGAGAACCCCCTGGGCCATGTCTCACTTGACTCGGGAGTTGGGGCGCAGGAGCATGGTGAAGACCTGCTTCCCGGTCCACAGCTCCAGCGGCTTCACGATTGCGGGAGGGGGAAGCTCTATGTCCTGGCGATTGTCTGATAATTGTATGGAAGAGTTGGGTAGGGTGAGGCGCCCCGGTGCATGCGCGAAGATGGGTTAGGAGGGGCAGGAGTGCACTGCTGCTGAACAAACAAAATGCCCGTGAGCGCACCAGTCAATCACCACCAGACACCGTCGACAGTCCAAGGGCCCCGCCTCACCCGTGAGGTACGCCAGTGCCTGCGCCAGCTTGGGGCGGGTGAAGAACTTGTCCTTGGACGTGAGCAGGTAGGCCGAGGTCAGAAAATCCTGGGTTGCTGCCACCAGGATCTCCCCGTTCTTGGGCGTGCACAGGTTGTTCACCACCCCCATCAGCTGCAGCGCCTCCGCCCGGGCCTCCTCCGTCTGCGGGGTGTGGGGGTGATGGCGTGCAGCGTCAGGTCTGGTACATCGCAGGCAGGCAGCACCAGACCCAGGGCTCCCAGGACGCTCCAATCCCGCCGTCGCCACCCCTCCCCTTCCCCGGTCACAGCCCCCCTCGCAGCACACACCTGCGGCACGTGGATGTTCATCTCATCCCCGTCAAAGTCGGCATTGTAGGGTGAGCACACACACTCGTTGAAGCGCAGCGTCCGCCACGGCATGACCCTGGCCCGGTGCGCCATGATGGACATGCGATGCAGCGACGGCTGGCGATTGAACAGCACGATGTCGCCGTCTGGGACAGGTCAGGGAGAGGGATACCGTGAGCGGGGGAAAGTCCGGATGTGGGGCTGGTTTTTGTGCATCGTGCTGGGTAGGGTATCCATTGATCAGAAGGACAAGGCTGAGCGGTTGAGATGGAGGAGAAGGCACCCCGAGAGGCATGGCAGCGAGAGGAATGCATGTGACCAAACCTCACATGGCTCCTGATGGTGCTTCGAGGAGTGCACCGTACTCGTCTGGCACGCAAGGGTCGTTCCCCCTTCCTCCTCCCCAGCCACCCCTCGACCAACCCCTCAACCATCCCCTCGACCAACCCCTCAACCAACCCCTCAACCAACCCCTCGACCCCACCTTCGAGGTGCCTCTCCACAATGTCCCCGATCTTGAGCTCGGAGGCGATGCGCCGCCGGTCCCCGAACCTGAGGAAGACCTTGTCGCCATTGGGGAAGATGACGAAGGAGGCCCCCGGCCAGTGCGACGCCCCCGCCAGCACCCGCTGCTTCAGTTTCTCCATGTTGTGCGCTGTCACGCGCTCCGGGTAGGTCAGGGTCAGGGCCATGAGGCGAGGCACGCACACCTCGCTGACTCGCAGGTTGGGGTCCGGGGAGATGACGGTGCGTCCGGAGAAGTCGACGCGCTTGCCCGACAGGTTCCCCCGGAACCGCCCCTGCTTGCCCTTCAGCCGCTGGACCAGGCCCCGCGTTGGCTTGGCCCCCCCGGTCTGGTACATTGCGCTGAGGCCGGGGAGGTCGCTGTTGATCACCGTGGCGCAGAGGAACTGGAGGTAGTCCCAGTGCTCCATCAGGTTGGAGGCGGGGGCGCCGGCGGCCAGGTCCTGGCGCAGCGTGGCGTTGGTCTCCACGATGTTGGCCAGGCGCATGGTGATGTCGTCCTCGTTGGACCCCGCCCCGGCGTCCATCTCCACGGAGGGGCGGATGCAGACGGGGGGGACGGGAACCGCGGAGATGAGCAGGTCCTCGGGGCGGCCGGCCACGTCCAGCAGCTCCAGATCCTATGCGTGGTTGTGTGAGGGGAGAAAAGGCGGACAGGGGGTGTGAAAGGAGATGGGTCTGAGGGAGACCCGGCATGTGCGGCAGCTCCTTGTGCTCCTCTACTGCAGGGACCCGTCCTCAACCCCCAGGCGCCACACCCACACCCACACATTCCGCTCCCCAAACCCCCCAAGACGACTCACGGCTTGTGGAATATTAGTGAAGAGCTGGCGCACGCGCAGGGGGTTGAGGTCGTCCATGACTCTGGCTAGGTTGCCACGCAGCTGGTCGTTGTACTGGCAGGCCATGGCCAGGTCGTCTTGGATGCTGTGGGAGGAATGGGGGGAAGGGTGACTACGCTGCTCCGCAAAGCTGGGTGAGGCCGCAGTTCCATGCATCCTCCTGCTTCCTGCCATGGCCAACCTTTTCCAATGGCCCACATGTCCACGCAAGGATGCCAGTCCACACTCGCAGGCCGGCCGGCTCCCTTTCGGACAAGAAGATACTTTGTGAAACAGCAGCATCCCGATAAACACACACGCTGCAGGTCCCCACCTCCCACTCTGGAACAACCCGCCCGCCACTCACACGTCAGCCCGCCCCTTGTTCCGGGTGAAAGGGTCGTGGATGATCTTGAGCGTCCCCGTGACCTTCTTCACCACGCCGTTTTCCGCGCCGCAGTGGGGGCAGAGCTTGGTGCGCTTGCATCGGTCCAGGACGCGTTTGAAGACGGCCTCGCGCTGCACGCGCTCCGTGCGCAGCGAGCGGAAGCGGCGCAGGAAGGCGCTGCGCTCCCCCGCCGGCAGCAGCACGCGGGAGCAGGTCTTGCAGACGCACTGCAGGATCTGCACCGTGTTCTTCAGGTACCCGATGTGGAACACGGGCAGCTCCAGCTTGATGTAGCCTGGGAACGGTAGAAGTGGAGAGGCGAGAGGGGGTTGAGAGAGGTGCTGGACAAGGACTCGTGCATGAGCAGGGCTGCGCACAGGCAGTCCATCCACCCAAGGTGGACAACATCGGCACCCTGATCCATCAGCTTGCTGCAATAATCCAGATCCCGGAGGCCAAGCAGGCATGAGAAGTGCCGCCAGTGCAGTTCAGGTGCCTGGACCCCAACCCCCTGCCCGCCTCACCAAAGTGCCCCGTGCAGTCGCTCAGGTGCTGGCCGCACGTCTCGCAGATGGCGCGCTTGTTGCTCACGCCCAGACGCCCATCCAGCACCCCATTGGGCTGCGGCCGGCGCTCCGGCATCTGCACGATGGATGGGCGTGGCGGGGACCTGAGCATGCTGGCGAGGCAGCAGGTTATCACAGCCGTCCGAGGCATTCACTCGCGTGCGAGGCACCTGAGCCCATGTCCCCTTCACCCCCACTCCAACCCCAGCATGTCACCTTGTAGAGAGCCCTCTCGTACACATGCATCTCTGAGGTTTGGATGATCTCGCTGGGGGACATGAGGCTGAAGCGCAGCTGCTTGCTGCACCGTGGAAGGCGGTTGGATGGGTGGGTTGGGGCATGGCAGTGGAAGGGTCCCATCACGTCTTCACCATGTTCCAGTCATCCCTGGCACTCACATCCTGCGGGGGACATTGGGCTCCTCGTACGACTCCTTGGAGGAACACAGCTTGGAGCGCTCCGCAGGACCTGGCGGAGCAGGGCGTGCCCCCGCCATCCCTCACGGGGGAGGCGCCGAGCCTTGCGCCGGCAACTCGCTGGGCGGTGGGTTTCGCCTGACACGAGCGGGGGTGTTGGGCCGGGAGCTCTTCGCCAGGAGATAAATATCCAGAGCTGTACACAATCAACAGTACGAGTTAGCACACCAACCCCAGGCTGTGTATGGCGCACGATGGTGGGTGTTGCCTGCATGGACGCGAGCGCGCGCGAAAACGCTTTCCCGAGATGAAGCACTGACCGGGCGGAGACTCCGATCGCGGCCTGTATACAGGCAGATTACGCAGTCGCAATGCCCTGCTCTGCATCGGAATGGAACGATGACCACTCCAGAATGAACTGAGCGGAGCCTGTGCCCGGTTTAGGCCCTGCCTGGCGCGGTCGGGATGGCCCCCCTAACCACCTACTTCAAGGATGAGGAGGACTGCCTGGGCTTCCCCATCTGGGTGGCCGAGCTGGAGCTGATCGTGGGGAGCGCGAGGGGATCCTCCCGCCCCGACAGCATCGCCTGCCTGGCCCTGCTCCACAAGCTGGTCGCCACCCTCGCCCGGGCGGGCCGGGAGGAGGTGCGGGCCCACCAGCGGCGCTGCGAGGACGCGGTGCTCCACGTCCTGCTCAAGGGCGCCCCGCCCTCGGTGAGATCGAGCGGGTAGTGTTTCGGGGTCCCAAGACGGGGTGGTGAAGGCCCCCATGCATTGATCTGGACCGCACTCTCAGATCACACCCAGGAGCGCATCCATCCTCACTCACTGCGGGCGCCTTTCTGTCCCTGCGCACCATTTGCCTACGTGATCCGCTCCCTGGGTTCCTGGCACATTATCCAGTCCACCCTTGATACGCACCCAGCCCCTCCTGCTAATGAATCTGCACACCAGTCACCCCTCCCCTACCCCCCCCTTGAAACTCGATCCAGGTGCGGCGCCTGCTGTGCGCCGTGCTGTCCCGCCTGTATGCGCAGGGCGACACGCTGCCCCTCTACTCCCGCGTGTCCAGCCTGCAGCTTTTCCTGGGCACGCGCGAGGCGCAGGGGCGCGAGACCGGCGACGCCATCCGCCTGGGCGCGCTGGAGGCGCTGACCGCGCTGTACGCCGACCACGGCGGCCTCCTGTCCATCGGCGTGCAGGACACGGTGGCCCTGGCGGCGCGGT